GTATTTGTAGTGAAATAAGTGTTTACATATTCTGAAAAGAAACCAAAAAAATCTTCGTTTCGTCGTTTTGAGACTTATGGTCGGTTGTAGATTCAGCATTGACATTGATCATGTTACCTTGGACATTAATTGAGAAGGTCAACAAATAACATAGAACACATGACTTATGCTTTTTTTCTCTTATTTGATATACTACATGTGATGATGCGACTATTATTAGCGAAGATACAACTTAGAGCCCTTTTGGCATCGTCTTCGTTTTTTTGTTTGTCGATCAATTATCGAAGATTTGGCTTTGTGCCCTTCATTTGACATGCTGAACATGACGAGCCGATTATTATTGACGAAGATGCGGCTTAGTGTCCTTCTGCCATGTTGCGCCATCTTTGTTTTTTCTTTGTCGATGAGTTCTGCATTCTTCTCCTTTCATTTAATGTGATGTACGTGACAATCCGACTATTATTAACGAATATACGGTTTAGCGCCCTTTTGGCTGCCTCTTTGTTTTTCTTTGTTAATAAATTCAACATCCCCCCTTTCATTTGACGTGCTGCACGTGATGATGTCACTGTTATTAACGGAGATGTAACTCGGTGCTCTTCTAACATGTTACATGCCATCTTTGTTTTTTCCTTGTCAAGAAATTCTGCATTCCTTTCCCATTCATTCAATGTGCTACACATGACGATGCGACTAGTATTTGTAAAGATTCAGTGCCCTCTTCGCATCATCTTTGTTTTTTCTTCTTTGTCGATGAATTCTGCATTCCTCTTCCCTTCATTAAATGTGCTGCACAATGAGATCGCACTATTATTAACGAAGATACGGCTTAGTTGCCTTTTAGTATGTCACCATATTTTATTTTACTTTGTCGATATATTTTGCACTGATTCTCCTTTCATGAGATGCGACATTATACAACTTGGTGCCCTCTTGGCATCATCTTCGTTATTATGCATTCATTATCATTTCATTTTATGTGCTGCTTGTTGAGATTCAACTATTATTAACGGAGATACGGTTTAGTGCCTTTTTGGTATGTTGCCATCTTTGATTCTTCTCTCTTCTAGTAGTTAAACTGTCATGTTTTTTTTCTTAAATGATTTATTTTGACGCACCCTGTTTACTCCACTTAATATCTGTTACATTGCCGCCATGTTTATTTCTCTTTAATTATAATTAAATGTGTACAAGGCCAAATACATAATTATGTATTTGGCCTTGTACACATTGGCGTCATGGTTTTTTCTTGATTTATTTTGAGACACCCTTTACATATTGAAGGATCGCACGTTGAAACGTTAGAGTCCTGTTAAACTGCCATGTTTTTTCCTAAACGATGTAATTTGCCACACTTTGTACACATTGATGCCCTGTTTTTTTCTTGACGCATTTTGAAACACTCTGTACACTTTGAGGGATCACACGTTGGAACGTTAGGTGCTCCTAGTCATTGTCGTCGTCTCATTACCATACAATTTTTATCGAGTCGTATTTCTAACCCTTCAAACCTAATTTTGAAACCGGCAACATTTCAAATGCTACATCGCCCCATAAACAACGATTTATTTTACAACCGCCGAAACCGAATCTGCCATGCTTGCGCTGGCGGCGTATCACCTCGATACCATCTCCATGTCTCCACCTTTTTATGAAACATTAGTTCTTTCCTAAATTTAAGGATATTTTCATCTTCTACATGGAAATGACGTTACAATGTCTCTGAAATTTTACGAAAATCAAAAAATGCAGTTAAGTATAGAAATTGAGTCAAGTTCGGTCCCGACAAAACAACCGCCATAAATATCAATAATTCGCAATTACTTTCACTATCCCATGTTGGTGTCGAGGCTTTGGACAACGTCTAACACTCCCACGACCTGAATTCAATTCTCATACCGGTAAACTTTTTTAATTGAATTTTTTTATTTACATTCATGCATTAATAATTACGTAGAGGATCTGGATATGAGTTATCAATGAACAATTGGTATAGAATGTTAAGATCAATATCATGAAATGAAGGATCAGAAATAATGACAATTTGATTCTTCATTTGTTTGACCAAATTTATTTTCGTCGACTGTTTATGGTAAAACCAATAATTCAGAAATCTGTCAAAGCTAATGGGTTTACGCCACAATCAATAGGTAGCACATTTTCAGGAGTTCTGATAAACTTTGTATCTAAAAATGGGACACAATGTTTCTCGTTTTCAACCTCAATGGTGAATTATATATAAGGGTCATAACTCCTGAAGATATATATGTCTACTATATCTGATATTCCATATTCAGAAAGGGCTGAAATATAAAAAAATAGGTTGAAAGGTAAAACTTTCAAGACCAAATTTAGCAGGTCATCCATAACATATGCTGCCAAAATCGGGCTGATCTTGACAAGAACGAAATGACAAGCAAATATTGCTTGTCAATGACAGGACCGGAAGTCTCATGATAATCAATTCCGTATTCTTGCTCAAATACTCTTACTTACTAATCGATTGTACCTTCCATCTTCTTTCACTTTGAGAGTCTACGACCTAGTCACAATTTTTGTTCCTTCTGTTATCCGTCATCAAAGTCCATGTTTCATTTTTCTCTAGAGAATATTGTTCATCTTTGATTGCTTATAACCTACCTGTTATAGTCTCTCGATGAGAGCATTACTTGTGAACTTTCATTGAATAGGAAAAAATCAAATTCGCTTGGAACTTTTCGAATAATTCACTTGGTCGTAATGACTGGACAGTTTCATTATCACTTGATGGGAGTGTGATTAAAATTTCTCATCTCTTCGGATCCTGCTGGTTCATTGATGTCTACCTAAATGTTTTCCGAACTCTCCAGTTCATTTTCAGTTTCGTTCTGCTCTACATTTGGGATGTAGTTCTCATGTATCGATACTAATCTATATTTCCGAACCAGAAAACTGTAAACACCTCAGCTTTATAGGTAAAGCTCAAATCAGACCTTTTTTGGAGTATTGTTCTCATGTATGGAGCTGTGCCCCCAAACATACCCTGAAACTGCTGGATTTCATCCAGAAAAGAGCCACATTCCTGATTGGAGACGCGAATATCATTTGCAACCTTGATAGTCTGGAGCATCGAAGAAAGGTTGGAGATTTGTCTCTCTTCTATTGATACTTTCACGGGAAGTGTTCAAGTGACTTGGCACATTTGATTCCACCAAGAGCAGTACCTATCAGAAATACGAAACGGACTGTGGCTGCTCATCATTCTGAGGTTCAACTCAGTACACCTTGAACTTCACTGTTTAAGAACTCTATTATTTCGAGAACGGCGTTTATGTGGAATAAACTTCTTGAGAACGTTTTTTCAAATGGATTTAATCTCCAGCAATTCAAATCCAATATGAATCACTACTTTCGCATAGTCACCGCTCTAAGAGCGCCTTAAGGATTTTCCTGTAGTTCTTATGTTTTGTCCTTAAAAAATTTTTTGACAGCGGTTACCTGAACAACCATGAATGGCTGGTTATTATTGAAATATATACAATTGTCAAATATTTCAACGTCCAATGAATAGAAAGTTATAAAAAGAACAATTATAGTTTTAAGGGCCAAAATCTTACTATTCAAGTTTAGTACTCAAAATAAGGAAATTTATCAAAGTGGTCGATTTCCATACTAAAGCAGAGTTAAAATGTTTCAAAATATATTATACAGGCAAAGATTAGAGTTCCTCTACTCTTTGCTCTAGGTCTCTAGTAAGTTGTTTCAAAAGGTTTGTCCGTTTTAATGGCATGTGTTTTTTGATGTGAAACATCTATGGCCGCACTTAAAACCGATTGCTGGCATGGCAACAGCTCGCCATGCGCAAGCGACTGTACGATTCTTCCGACAGGTTTGGCGTTCCGCTATCTCTGGCCACACTGAGTTTGGATGCCTATAGTGCATAGTGTAATCAATTATTAATTGATTTTAATCAACAGAAGAGGAGCGATCCGGCTCCACGACAACGCCCATCCGCACGTTTCACAAATTACCGTTTGAACATTGAACGAATTGAGCGTCGAAGTTCTTCCTCGCCCACCATATTCCCCAGATCTCTCGCCAATCTTTTTTCAAGCACTTCGATAATTAAATCATTGGTAATCAGGGCCAGGCAAAATCGGTCTTCGTCGACTTTATCGAATATCAAGCACACAGTTTTTATACTGACGGAATTAATGGACTTGTGTTACGTTGGCGAAAGTGTACTCATTCAAAAGGCGCTTATTTCGGTTAAATTGAATAAGTATTCACTGAGATAAGAGATAATACAGTTTGAAGTAGACTCATAACGCACAAAACTTTTGAAACAACCTATATATCAATTTTAACAGTAACGACATTTTGCATCAGGCCACCTACAATATATGCCAGTGACTTGGTTGACGTTTAATTCACCGATTTTTCTGAAGTTTGTATCCATTTCAACTATAGCCAACAAAAACAAACGTATTCTAAAAACGCAACACGTGTTTTGCCATACAATGGCTTCCTCGGGCGTGTATGGCCATTGTATGGCGAAAAACGTGTTGCGTTTTTGTAAAAATGTCTAGTGAAAATCACACAATAAAGTGTTTTTAGAATACGTTAGTTATGGATTCTCATCAAGTATCGGCCGATTCCATCATATAACAAAAACAAACTTTTTACTTCCATCATCAATTTTTTGTAGATAACCGGTAATCAATTCTTTTACCATGAGCAGCATTACTAAAAGCTTGAAATTGAGATTAATTTTTTAAAAGGTGTTGCTTCAATTTTTGGGTCTCTAGGGGTTTATTGTCACGTTTTATCAAGTGTTTTGTTTTTGTTTTTTTGGAGAACTTTTCAGTTGAAGTTACGAAGGGTTGAATTTCATGGAATTATTATCGAAAAAGTTTTATAAAAATCATTTCGACAAAATATATTTCATACTGCGTTTTTATGCTTGTACACGATATACTTACCCATAATACTCAAGCCTTTGCATATTGTGTTTTTTGTAGTACCTCGCAGATTTGAAGAACAGGAGAGCAAGAATCATCATCGCCGATGTTATTGAAAACGTAGCTAGGACGGTGATGTGTGAAGCATATAAGCAGGAAATGACTGCCAAAGAGGGTTATGTTTGGTTTTTGCCAATATGGCTAGATCCTAACTGGTATGATACCGATGCCCATAACAACAATAGTTCGGAAGTTGTTAATTGTACCACAAAGGAGATGATTGAGGTAATTTTACGATTCCTCTTTTTATGTACCTACCGGTATTTACCCGAAGTGTAGAAGTGGTGTATGCAATTTATATTGGCTGTATCTGAAAATGTTTTGTTTTCAGGCGATCGCGGGATACTTTTCCATGACGCACGCATACTTTGCAAAAGACGATTCAATAATGCAAGAAAATATTACAGTAGGAGAGTGGAGAAAAAAGAATGATCTTAGAATAAAGAACGCAAATTATGCAGGATTCGCTTATGATGCAGTTTGGACATATGCACTCGCTCTAAATGAACTAGTGAACACCGACCCGGAAGCTTTGTCAGTTTTACACTCTGAAAGCACAACTAAGTGAGTACATTTCTATGTGAAAAGTATATTATTTTCTAGAAACCTCCAAATTCAATTATGTTATGCATTAGGTTCAAAAATGATGATTCACAAATGATATTCGAAATCAACAACTCTATTTCAAGTTTTGTGAAAAAATTTCATTATTTAATTTTTTTTCCAGTAAACTGGTCCGAATCGTGGAAAAAACTGATTTTGACGGCGTGTCAGGTCGCATTAAATTCCGAGGTGGTCCATCACGTTTCTCCTTCATAACCATTGTTCAGTGGTACAATAACAAGACCAACACAATCGGACACTTCTATCCCAATCTGACAGAATACGAACCCGAGATCCTTGGTGGTGAGTTAAAACTCAATGAAACCTTGTTAAAATGGTTCACATCCGATGGTAATATACCAAAAGATGGTACTCTCCCACCTCCATCATGTGCTGTTGATGGGCTAGCGCGAGCATTCAATGTGGAGTGCCAAACAGCCTGGATAATTTTGAATATTATCATTGCGATCTTGTTCATAATGTCCGTAATGGGGGCATGTTATTATATGAAGAGGAAATACGATTTGAAGGTGGAAAAAACCAAAAATTATATGAGGTATGTCCATCGACGTAGTAACATTGTTAGGATTGGCATTTCTGCAGTAAATGTATCTTTACAGATCTCTTGGTATTCCATTCAACCTTACTAGTGCCAGCGACCTCGATAAATGGGAAATTCACCGGGAAAGTGTAGTCATTAACCGAAAACTAGGAGAGGGCGCTTTTGGTACAGTGTATGGAGGAGAGGCTGACCTTCCTTCCACGGGATGGACCGCCGTAGCAGTGAAAACTTTAAAAATGGGCTCCACAACTGAAGAAAAGCTCGATTTTCTTTCTGAAGCTGAGGCAATGAAGAGGTTTGACCACAAAAATATTGTTAAGCTTCTTGGAGTATGCACCAAAGAAGAACCAGTATACACCATCATGGAATTTATGCTATATGGCGACTTGAAAACTTACCTGCTAGCACGTAGGCACCTGGTGAAGAATAAGAACATTGAGGAATATGAAGAAATTTCCCCAAAACGTCTGACCAATATGGCTTTAGATGTTGCAAGAGGTTTGAGCTATCTTGCTGAAATCAAATTTGTCCATCGTGATATCGCTTCCAGAAATTGTCTCGTAAACGCTCAGCGAACTGTTAAAATAGGTGACTTTGGTATGACTCGTGCAATGTTTGAAAACGACTATTACAAGTTCACCCGCCGAGGTATGCTGCCGGTAAGGTGGATGTCTCCTGAAAGTTTGGCTTTGGGAGTTTTCACGCCAGCTTCAGACGTATGGAGTTTTGGTGTATTACTCTATGAAATCATAACGTTCGGTAGTTTTCCATTTCAAGGAAAAAGTAACACCCAAGTATTGGAGATCGTGAAAGAAGGACAAACGCTGGAGATTCCTAGGGGAATCAAACCTCAATTGTGAGTAGACATTTCATTTAGATTTTTTTTAGCTGATGACACTATTGCTATCTTGTAAATAGTGGGACTGAAAAGGTTGGTTGAATAAGAGAAAAGTTGCCTGTTTGAGGGAACAAAATATATTTTATCAAATCGTATCAATTTCAGTAGACACCGTCATAAGATATTCAACCAGGTATCACAACACGTAAATTTTTCGACGTTTTTATTCGAAGATTTAGCTCTTAAAACTCCCCGTTAAAAATGTCTGTCAATCGTGCCTTACACTTACAGAAAGTACAAAATAGAAAACTGATAAAAATACTTGCAACAGTCCTAATCTGTAATAGAAACGGAGGAAACGAGATGCCCAGTTCTAAGTTGCCTCCTTAAATCTCCATCGAGAAGGTAATGAAGAATGTTTTCCTGTGAGCAGGCTAGATCTAAACTTATAGGATAAAGAAAATAACTTTTGTCTAATTCCTACTGATTTCTCAAGTAAACTTTAGAATGGTTTAATAAACCGAAACCGGACGTAACAGATGAAAATCTTATTAGAAATCCAAACGAAAAAGTTATTTTCTTTATCCTATATTTAATATGAATTTCTACAAAATAAACAGGTCATCAATCTAACAAGTTACACCTTAACTCCACGGATGACTGGCAAATTTGAATTTAGCGTACGTCAAAGTTGATGTGTACCTGGTTTGATAAATTTATTAGTTAATATTATATAAAACCTCCCACATGAAAATAATGATTAGACCTCGTATGAATTCACCACGCCGCCCGTGCCATACAAAGAAACCGCTGACGTTCGGTAACTAGTTAGTTTTTATGCCATTTGAATTGACTTTGTATATACTGTACCTCCCATGCACATACTTCAGAAGGACTTGTCAGTTCAATATTCGAACAAATATGGAAAATGATGTTCGAACAAAATTCCAGATAATGAGATATCAAACGCAAAGGAATTAGGTCAAAACTTCAAGTAGGGGAAATGAATTCATTGAAAGCCAACCTTTGAAAATTTTCTTGAGAGGACCATAATAAAATCTCAGATGAAATTCAATTGACATTATCAATAAGCCACATATCTCCCAATGTTTTTGAAACAATCAGTGAGTACAAAGACTTCGAATCAGCTCTTGGTGTCAAAGTCTATGTTAAACCCAAAAACGAAATTTTTGCCCATTATCGCTTTGCTTAACGAATCCAGTAGGCTGAAGAAACTATCGATAAATATATTCAAGCACTGCAACAATCATCAAAAAGATGGAACTTCAAATCTGTGATAACAGAACAAAATCAGAATGATAGTATAAAAATGCCTTCATCGCCGGTTCGTACTCAGCCAGTATATGACAGTGATTGCTCAAAAACGTTACTCTTGAGTTGAATGAAGCTTTGTAGATAGCTCAACTATATTCTGTGAGTTTTTCATTGCCATTCTCGTCAATAAATGCGGTTTCAGCAGATCCATCATCCAGTTATTGTAAAATCGCCGTGAATGCCGCTTCTCGTAACTTCGAATCAAATGGTTGCTTTTTCTGTGGCAGTGACAGACACCAAAAAAATCAATGCCCAGCTCCGGGAGCAATATGTAAAAACTGTTCGAAGAAAGGATATTTGCTAAAGTTTGCTGAAGTATGAGGGCGGAAAATAGAACAGTAATGGCTAATGCAGAAACGCTTCCTTATTATAGGCCACTTTACCCAGCTACATATGTGAAGCCACAGTACCAATCGCTATCAATAGAGTTACCGCTACAGGGCTCATTGATACCAGAAGCACATCTAGTTTCATTAATAATTCTATTGTTTCTTATTATAACATGCAAAGAATGTCTTCTGATAGGAAGATCAATATGGCTTCTTCACTCCATGTGTCTGTTACAAGTGGAAGAAAGTTGTATAGTCGATCTTAAAGTACTGAAGATCTGTATATTAAACAAATAATTTTGCATAATCTTTTTACAGATTCAATACTTGGACATGAAAATATTATTTCTAAGGTTGCGAAATATAAAGTGTTCAGTACTGTTGATTTTCAGAGTGCTCATCATCAAATACCACTATCTGAGAATGAAAGACCCCATACAGAATTTGAAGCATGTGGATATTTATTTCAGTTTTTGGGAGTTCCGATTGAAGTTACTAATGGAGTTTCTTGCTTCTAGCGAGCAAAATATACAATCATAAGGAATGAGGATTGATAATCAACTTTTGCCAACCTAGAGAATATCATTATTTGTAGGAAAGATATGAAATGAACTTGACAAAAATCTTCTGCGATCCATAAATGTTGTTAAGGAGTTCAATCTTACCAACAATGAACCCAAATAATAATTTTATCACGAATCAATTGATCTTCTAGAATATACCATAAAAAAAGGAACGATAAAGCCGGACTGCGAGCGTCTTGCCTCTCTGAGATTCAATGCCACTTATAGATCAGCCTTCTCGTCGACTAGCCATTGGACTGTTTTCCCGTTATGCGAAATGGATTCCAAAATATTCTGAAAAAATAAAGCCATTCATTCAAGTCAAACAATGTCCGATCAATTCATCAGTTCTACAAACTTTTGAATATCTAATAGCAGACATTGCAAAATCCATTGAATAAAACATCACTTTAATGAAATGAATAAAAATACTTTTGTCTAATTTTTACTAGTTAATTTTATTTATACGGCCGGTTTAAATTATAAAACCTGATAATGGGGTTAAACCCGAAATCGTATAAATAAAAACTAGTGGAAATTAGACAAAAGTGTTTTTATTCAATTCATTAAAGTGATCATGAATTACCACAAAATAAACAAGTCATCAATCACACATAGAAGCTGCTCTGCTTTCAGAAAATGGAAGGTATGTTGCATTCTATTCGGAAACATTATCTTATCGGAAGAAATTTTTGACTAATTACCGACCAGAATCAGTTTCATTCAAGTTCAAGAATGACAAAATTCAGAGATGTCGTTGGAACTAAGGGCGTAGTCAGAATTATATATAGGGGGAAGCAGGCAAAGAAAATCCTAGATTATATTGTTTTGGTCGTTGTTTTTAACATATGAGTTTCACATGAGCAGTAGAGCTAGTAATAAAAAAAATATATGAAAATCAGAAATAGCTTCTTCAATTGACAATCAATATACGAGGCTCTTCACAAAATCTTTTCAAAGTTTCTCGTACAATTTAACATTTTTTTTCTTCCACAATTTTCTAGTGAACGCTTAGCGTACATAAACCCTTTAAACGGTATTCGGTCATCGTAGACCGCAACCACGTTTTCACATGTCGCAAGGTCAAAAAAGACCTTTTTATATTGCTTGTTGTACATGGCTGTGCCAACGAAATAATGATAGCTTGGGAAGAACGTGTCCGCCTTCTTAAACACATCTGTGAAGTGTGATTTTTCTGGATCTTCCCTTTGTCCACAATTTACACTGAAATTTAGCTTCATGTTCAAAAAGAGTAATATAGTACTGGCAGAAATCTTATGATTTTTCTTTAAAATCAACCAGTCATATTCAACATTGTACTATGATGTAGCGACTTTAAAACTAAAAGCTGGTAAATGTTCGTTAGAAAATTTTTTTTAACGGCACCAATACTTCCAGCCATTGTAGAACACCATCGTAACATATGGGGTTCAAGTCCAGCGTTTTCTAAAAACGTATCAATTTCTGACGTATATGCATCCATTGCAATCAATTCTACGAAACCTAGAAAGTCTTCACGTATCGTAATTTTACTTTTGTAATAAAAACAGATTCCAATGGAAAGCTGCTCTTTTCCAGCTATGTCAAATGACTCATCTGCCATGACACTATAAGCATTAGCTTTTTTTGCAACTTGTATAATTTCATTCTCTGCAGACCAAGCCGCCTAAATTAAGCTAAATGAAACTTCCACGGTTGTGGAAGCTTCATCTGATCTATGTCATATACTCCTATATACTTTCTTACACAATAAAATAACATGATTCTGAAATCATCAAAACTGAACTCAGTATCCACTTCATACACTCTGTATAAATGAATTAGAAATCATCAACGCTGAACTCAGCATTCATTTCATACAGTCTGTACGAATGATTCAGAAATCATCAATACTGAACTCAGTATTGATTTAATACACACTGTATAATATTGATCTCAATATCTATTGGAATGTTGTACAGTGATACTGAACTGAGTATTCTTTTGATACATTCTGAATTATATGTTTCTAATTCAACATCATGTGCTCATAAATAAGCAATGCAAAGTGCCAAAAGTAAAGGAATATTATTTTCAAATAATAACTAGTATATTCGTTTCGTGTGAAATTCCCAATTGTAAGCCTGTGATATTTCTCATTCCCTTTTCTTTGTACATGTGCAAAATAAATATTCCACTTGTGACGACCAAATTCCTTAGAAATAAGTACTTACTCAGATTGTTACGGTACAACATACATGAATCCATGTATAGTCACGGTCATCTTAATGTATATTTATATTCGTATTCAAAAAAATGTATTCTTCTCAAAGATCATACGACCAACGGCATTTGATCTCAACTGATCAATTAATAAGGAAAATTCCTACCTTTGTTCAATGGCAGACGTGAATTTATCCCACCGCTGCTTTATAAAAAAAGCAGATATAATAATCGTAAAAATATATTTTACCCAAAGATACATCAATTCACAATTGAACTTAACGATTAAACCATCAGCCCTTTTCCGATCTGGATATAAACAACTAAATGAATAACAATTCTCTCGCCTGGCTCGCTCTAGTTGACTGACTAATTCCCATCCAATCTCTCGGGCCCTGCATTTTTTCGTGTACCGCGTTTTTTTTTTCCACCCATGTCGATAGTGGTTTCTTACACAAGAATGTGTCGATGAATTCAGTTCTTTGTATGGCGATAAAACACCATCAAATACCACAGTATATCGCTGGTATAGTGAATTCAACCGTAGCGTAGTTTGGCCGTCGACGAATTCCGTGAATGTCGTCCAAAA